TGTTCCAAATATCAGTATCTATTGCACATGATCCTGATCATTCCTTGTATTGCTTACTCTCCAAAGGCTTGATCCCATAGCCAGGTTTTTACTTTTTTCTGAAGACCAGGAGGGAGGGTGCTGATCTAATTTCGCTGGGAAGGGAGTTTCATAGCCAAGGAGCCACAACTCAGAAGGCCCTGTCTCTCAGCCCCACCAATAACACCTGCGAGGGAGGTGGGACCGAGAGCAGGGCCTCCCCAGAGATCTTAACCTCTGAGGTGGTTCATAGAGGGGATAAATTTGTACAGGTAAGCTGGGCCGAAACCGTTTAGGACTTTATAAGCTAAAGCCAGCACTTTGCATTGTGCTCGGTAGCAGACTGGCAGCCAGTGGAGCTGGTGTAACAAGGGTAGTGTGCTCCCTGTACTCCGCTCCAGTGAGTAGTCTGGCTGCCGCCCATGGGACCAAACAGTCTTCAAAGGCAAACCATGTGGATAGTTCTGCTGTTCAGTCATCCTCACCAAATACATTACTAGAGAAGTGGGTGAGAGAAGTTCAAATGATACAAATCGGTCTAAAAAGCAGATGTTTGAATGGGGCTTCCATTAAACCCCTGGGTCGAGCTCTGGTGCACAGGTCTCCAGTTGCTACATTTCCCGTTCAAGCACCAGCCTGGCTAATTACATTTTGGGTCCAAAATAAATCTTTGTACAAGGTATATATAGCAGTCCCCTTCACAGTCCTCCAGCATATTTCTCAGGAGTTGATTTATCTTTTTAATCACTTTCTTCAGTGTCCAACTTTGTCAACTTTACCCAGAAAAGGGAGCTGCAGGGGCAAAACAATCCTAATTTTAGTACTGAGTTGTATATATCGACACTAGAGTATCTTGTTGGGGTTCTTCGTTATGCTCTTCAAAGTCCTACTCTCTTTTGCTGACTATTTTGCTAAACCTAAATGACAGCTTTCATCTCTGCACTTCCTTCTTGACAAAAAATCTTGGCCAGGGAGGGTGGATCTGCAATGCAGTTTGGCACCCTTGAACTGCCAGGACTCAGGGTGAGGGATCCTGGGAGCTGTCCTACAAGCTCTTTTTGCCTTCTCTGCCAACAAAAAGGACGGCAGGCGCTTCCCCAAAGCCCAGGATCCCATCGTGTGGAGTACAAGGGGTGTCAAAGTGGAGATGCACCCTCAATCTGCATTCCAGAGCCAGTTGGAGAATGCAACTGTGGGATTTTTTTTTCTTTCGTGTCAGGAGCGACTTGAGAAACTGCAAGTCACTTCTGGTGTGAGAGAATTGGCCGTCTGCAAAGTCATTGCCCAGGAGAAGCCCGGATGTGTTACCATTCTGTGAGAGGCTTCTCATGTCCTCACATGGGAAGCTGGAACTGACAGATGGGAGCTCACCCCTCTCAGTGCCCCCAGTGGCGAAATGGGTTAAACCCTTGTGCCAGCAGGAATAAAGACCAACAGGCTGGAGGTTCGAATCCGGGGAGAGCGCAGATGAGCATCTTCTGTCAGCCCCAGCTCACCATACGGGGACATGAGAAAAGCCTCTCACAGGATGGTAACACATCTGGGCATCCCCTGGGCAACGTCCTTGCAGACGGCCAATTCTCTCACACCAGTAGCGACTTGCAGTTTCACAAGTTGTTCTTGACACAGAAAAGGCTCCACTGTGTCATGAATGCAGTTTGACACTACTTTAACTGCATGGCTCTTCCACTCAGCCCTATATCCCGGAATATCAAGGCAGAAAATCCCACATTATCTGAGTGTGGACTCAGATAACTCAGTTCAAAGCAGATATAGTGCGATGTATTGTCAAAGGCTTTCATGGCCAGAATCACTGGGTTGTTGTAGGTTTTTCCAGGCTATATGGCCATGTTTTAGAGGCATTTTCTCCTGACGTTTCGCCTGCATCTATGGCAAGCATCCTCAGAGGTAATGAGGTCTGTTGGAACTGGGAAAAAGGGCTGTGTGGAAGGGCCCTCAATGCTAGGGGATCCTGGAAGTTGCAGTTTGGTGAGGCAGTAACTCTTTTAAGCAGTGCAGGCTTAAGACCTTGTCAAGCAGTGTTTCTCAACTGTGCTAATGCCATGACCCCTTGATACAGTTCCTCGTGTTGTGGGGACCCCCAACCAT